GAGGCCCCAGGGGTCCCGGTGCCCGCCCGGTAGCGCCCAGGGGAGGTGGCGGCGGCGCCGAGCAGGGCCCGGGCCCCCCTCGCAGCGGGGCTGGGCGGTAGCGCGGGGCCTCGTGTTTATCCTGAGGGGCTTCGTGCGCGGCTTCTTCCCGCGGAGCCGCCGCGTGGTCCTGGTCCGCGCTGGAAGCCGAGCTGGGATGTGGAAATGCAGGTGTTGTGTGTGCTGGGGGGCCCGGCCGTCGTTTCGGGAATGTCCTCCCCGTGCCAGCCGTGCAAAAGGGGCTGAAATCGCTTCCTGCTCTGCCAAACCCAGTTCTCCAGAGCAGATTTATCCTGGTTAGCAAGTGGCCAGTCCAAACCAGCGGGTTGTGGCAGTGCTCAGACCACTGCACAAAGGCCGAGCCAGTCAGAAGCCTCTGATGGAGAATTTAGCTGTTAGGGATGACTTATTTAATGGATAATTAAAAAGGATAATTATTCCATTATTGCTTTAGTGCTGGATGCAGGGTTTAATTTAGCTGTCTACCATTACTTAGTTGTTCAAAGTCAAGCTGAAGCATGTGGTTATTAATGTATCTTTGTTGTTACAGGAAAGCAATTTAAGTTTGAATACAGCTGTGATGCACATCTGTTTGATGAAGAAGACGTTGCTCTTACGCAGTCACTTTCCAAACTTAGCTGCACTGAAAAGCAAGTATACTTATGTTCTTTAGAAAATACTGCATAGCTCCAGGGTAGTTTTATAAAACCCCTTTTTTTTCATTACCTTTTAACTGTGCATAACTCTGTGAGTAAGATTTACCAAGGTTTACTGAAGTACCATCCTTTTTCATGAAGGTCTGAAACCATAGCGCTTCAGTAAAGCCCATATCTTTTGTTAAAGGTAAGAAAAAACATGACAGAAAAAGCAAGTGTAGATGATTTTCAAGCTTGGGATTCTCTCAAGAAGAAAAAGAAAAAACACAAGCACATTAAGAAACATGAAAGTGATGAAAGAGAAAGTGTGCAAAATGAAGAGCATAGCTGTGAATCTCTACTCCTTTTTGAAGACCAAACTGGGCAGAACAGTGTAGTTCGTAAAAAGAAAAAGAAGAAGAAAAAGAAAAACGAGGGGGAGGAAGAGCAGCCTTTGTTAGATAACTTCTGCCCAGGGCTGGAAGATGGAATTAGTAACGAAACTGTAATGGATGTTTCTCCGAAGAAAAAGAAAAAAAGGAAGCGGAAGCATGATGATGGTGCAGATGTGTCCAGTGAAATAATTTGTGTTGAAGTAAATCACGATAATACTGAGGACTGTCAGGAAAGTGAGACTGATTATGTTTATATAAAGAAGCCTAAGAAGAAAAGAAAAGAAAAATCACCAGAAAAGGATTACCAGGAGGAAGCAACTGAGGTGCCTGTCTCGGAAACATGTGATGAAAATGATGATCAAAGGTCAAAAAAGAAGAAAAAGAAGAAGAAGAAGAGAAAACACGATATCACCCCAGAAGAAGGCATAGACTCAGTGGCTAATGCATCAATCTTGTCATCTTCAGGACTGAATGCAGAAGAGGAAGACACCGTGCTGGCTTTGCCTACAGCAAACAGTCGTGTGACAATGGGCCAGCCATTCCGTGAAGATGGTGATCCTAGTGCTTCTCCTGCCTCCATCGAAGAGCCTATGGAAGTAGCTGCTGAGCCTGCTGAAGAGGCTGATCATTCTCCCAGCAAACCTCAAAGGCAAATTCGGAAGATTAAAAGCAGTGCGGTCGTTGAGGAAGACTCTTCAGATTCTGAGATAATGTAAGTTTGGATTGTTTTGTTTTGTTTTCGCATTTTCTTCAGTACCCCACAAATATGTTTAGATTCCCCTGAGTCCCCAACTTTTCCCTAGTCTGTAGTGTGTGTATTAACCCCTCAAATAGCTTCCAAAAGCTTCACCGTAAGTTGAGATTCCATAGAGCCCATTTTGTGGCAGCTTGATTCTTAGTTATCGCACTGATCTTCCTACTTGAAAACTAGGTATAGGAAGAATTCATGGGCAAGTGATCAATGTTTAGTAAAAAAGGAGTTCCCAGTTGTTGAATGTGATCTTTATTATGCTTTTTACCAGATAATTAGTAAGCTGAATTAGGAGACTTAAAATTCAATGCGAACAAATGTTTATGTAAATAGCTCTTTTACAGTGTCTAGAACCCATAACTTTACCAAGAATGAATGAAGTTTAAAAAAATAAAAAGTTTCCCAGTTACAAAGTATCCTTTCTCTCAGGTAAGATCTATATGCAGAGCTCCACTTATCTTTGTGCCACAATAATATTGTGGTGACAGACTCAGAACATGAAGTTAATCATTTTTAAAATGTAATGAACTAAAACTGCTGCCTAATGAAAAATAATGTTAAAAGCTGTCTTTTGCTCCTGCCAGTAATGATCACTAGCCAGACACATGTGGAAGGTTTTTCTGTTGCTGCTGGTAGCAAGAGATACTGTTTCTTTTGTATATCCATATGGGACAGTTCTGTGGGAAAGTGGGAGTTCTCATAACCCTGGCAAGCTTTTCAAATATTTAATACTGAAATGTCATAACTAATGACACCTATTTTAAAAGGCTGGAAATAAAAGGGGACAATGTGTGGAACAGAATTTGGTATTTATTAGTGAACATGTTCATTCTTTTAATTGTGGAGATATTAACAAAAATCTCTGTTTTGGAGCTCTAATCGTGTGGTGATGCTGCTGTTGTTTATAGGACACCAGAACCTACAATATCAAATAGAGAGGAAGAGCAGAATAATTCCTTTACTGAAAATGCAGCCCCTGGTGAACTAGATGATGACGATGATGATGATGTCCTGGACTCAAGCATGTTTACAGCCTTGGATTTGGATACAGCAAAAGAAGAACTCGAAGAGTTTATCCCTCACGTGAGGGAAATGTCAGATAGTTCCATCAGAAAGATGGCTGGAAGAGACCTAACAAGATTTAAACATTTTAAAAAGCAAGGTGAGCTGTCATAAAATGCTCTATGGAGGGTAGAGTGTGGAGCTGTGATGATGTTTTGACCTAGGAGAAATAGCCTGTTTCTCTGTCATGTCTGATGAGTGACAGTAGCTTGAATTATCTGGCGATGGTCATGTGAGCATAAAACAGTATTTTAATAGGCTCTCTTTTCATATGTTTAATTTCAGTGGGCATTTTTTTTTCTACTTTGTAGCATCTATTTCTTCCATCAAATTACATCAATTTATATGGAAATCACCTCCTTCCAGCTTTTGTTTTGCCCAACTCTGGTGTGCTTTTATTACTCTTACAGTTCATTGAACTTTCATTATATGTTTGCTGGAAAGTTTTAGTAAACTCGAAATACAATGCAGAAATGATGGTATCTGGGGCTTGAGTATTTTCTGTCAGTTTTGTTTTGTCTCTTAAAAAAAAAAACCTTTTTAAATATTTTTAGGTATTGCTATCAAGTTTGGCAGATTTTCACAGAAGGAAAATGATCAAATCAAGAAAAATATTAAGGAGTTCTTATCACTTACTGGAATAGAGAATGCTGAAAAACTCCTGTTTACCTCTAGGTATCCAGAAGAAAAAGAAACTATCAATCGCCTAAAAGCAGAGTTTCTTTTCTGTGGGAAAATTGGTAAGTATTCAAGCATTCTTTAAAAAAAAAAAAAAAAACAAGTGGCCTTTTTGGTGTGAAAAACGTTTTTTTTAACAAAGAATCATGTGTTTTCCAGCTGAGGGCATTCCACGACCCTGGAGACTTATATATTATCGAGCAAGGAAGATATTTGACCCAAATAATTACAAAGGGAGGTAAGAAAGTATAATAGCTCCTGAGGCTTAATGCCAGTCTCTGATGTTTATATGTACTTCAAAAAATACAACCGAATATCATCTCTCCTGCTTGTGCCAGTTACAGTGATTTAATTGACAGTTCACTTTTTCTGACCAGTTCTTATCAATTACTCTGTACTGAAGTGTGGCTTGAAAGGACACTGATGGGTAACATTTCAGTGTATGCTGCTCCTAAAGTACTGGAGTATTTTGAGCTTGCAGCTGAAGCTGTGGCATCTCTTCTACTAGGTATACTAAGGAGGAAAAAGAAAAATTAAAGAAGTACTATGCTATCCACGGCAATGACTGGAAGAAGATTTCTGAGATGATGTCCCGTTCAAACCTCTCAGTTGCTATGAAATACTCCGAAATCAAATCGGGCAAGTAATTTTAAGAATAAGGATTCAGTTTGTGTATTGCAGTTTGAGTAGTTACTGTGTTGTCTGTTTTATAGTCAATGGGCTGAACCGAACCTCTTAAATCTCTGGGATGCAGAAGAGCTTCTGGGAAGCACATTGAGAAATTGTTCCGATACATAAGAGTTCAAAACAAACAAACAAAACCCAAATTTTTCAATTTGCATTACATTTTTTTCCCTCTAGCCAGGTATGAGAAAGTTTGCCTTAGCTATGTAATTTTTTCTTATTGTTTAATTCTAGCTATTAATTACGGCCCTTGGACTAAGGAAGAAACACAGAAGTTAATGCACGCAGTAGAGGACGTGATTAGGAAAAGATCAAAATTGGAAGCTGAGAAATCCTCATCAGAAAAGTCACGTAGAAATCTCTCAATTGACCGTGAAAAGCTCTACCAGAAATTACCATGGACTGAGATTGAAACTAAAGTGGGAACTAGATACTGGAGGCAATGTAAACAGAAGTGGTAAGGTCTTACACTGGATTTAAATGTCAGAATGTGTTTTGGGTGATATTGTCTGACTTCATTTTGTAAAATTAGTAGTACCATGATGTTTGCAGGTAAGACTGTTAAGAGGCTGTAGAGTACTGAACAGGTGGTTGAAAATGTATCTCTGTCCAAGAGACTAATAACTTGACTATGATAAATTTTCTCATTGCTGTGATCTTGAAACTTGACTGTAGCTTCTCTGTAGCAGCAGTGCCACCTTAAAGTTTCTTCCTTTTGATGTTTGGAATTTCCTGGGAAAAAACATATGTTTTTGTCTGTTTTCAAAGGAATTCAATTTTAACAAGCAAGATGACCAAAGGGCAGCAGTTATACAAGGGGACCAAAGGATTACAGGCCAAAATCAATCTTATTAAAAGGTATAAAGTCAATGTGATGTTTTGTCTCCTGTGTTCATAAAAGCTTACTGTTTGAGAAAGGCATGCAATGTAATTCTGTACTGATTTCACAGATGCTTTATTTTTGACAAAATGTATTGTGGCTTTTGACTGTATTGAGATGTCAATATTATTTGCATCTGCAAATTTGCACATTTCTCCTGTATTACATTCTCAGGTTGTATGAAATGAAAGTGGAGGATGCTAATGAAGTCAACTGGGAAGAGCTCAGTAATGCTATTGGGTAAAAACTTTCCACTACTTTTCCTTTAGATACAATACAGAACTGAGGCAACCTGCCTTAAACTCCACAAGGGAATCCATATGTCTAGGCACTTGCAATTGTGGAAGATATAACTTAGTTTGGTAACCACAGCTGTAATCCTTATGTAATACTGAGCAATGAACCATATCCATCGGTGCTGGAATAATTTAAACTGCTTTTTGAAATCTTTATGGTCTTCCTAGTGTTTCCTACATAGGAGAACTGGTGCTCTGTGCAGAAGTCTTTTGTTGAAGACTTTTCCAAGCATTAGCCAACAAATAGCAAAAGGAATAATTATTAGAATGTGGAATATAATGTGGAAGTCATTTCTGACCAGAATTGATCTTGATTATGAAATTACCAATATTGTGAATTCTGTGCTTTATGTACAGCACGTTTATTCCATAGAATATTTCATTTACTGTTTCTTCTTCTTAAGCATGTGATAAATACACCTAATGTCCAGTTGAGTTTCAGTGCTTACTTTTAAGGGCAAGTGCTCGATTGGCAGACTTTTTATTAACATATCAAATATCCTGTCTGCTTAAAGCTAGCAGATTGCATGATTGGAATTCGACTCATAAATGCATAACTAATACAGAGACTTTAAAACAGATTGCACCCGCTAATTCTTTGAACACTTCCCTTTTCAGAGATGTCCCTAGAGCCTATGTTCAAGCCAAATTTTACAAACTCAAGGTCTCCTGTGTCCCTCTTTGGCAAAGAAAGACTTTTCCTGGTAAGTATCCCAGATATTTTCATATATTCCTTAAAGTGAGATTTTTGTTTAAATCCTATGTGGGTAAATATACAATTTAGTTAACTTTATTTCAAGTAAAATGGCTAAATTCACAAACTTTATACCTATTTTACTGAACATTTTCTTGGTGTGGCTGTTTTTTCCTCTCTGTATTTTAATTAAACTAGAAAAGATGGGGTGGGAGGTCAAAATGACTGCAGTGAGAAGCGTTGTTCTTTTCTGAAAAGGGCAAGTTTCACTTAAGAATACCTTTTTTTTCTCTCCTCTCCAAGAAATTATTGATTATCTTTATGAAGAGAAACTTCCAGAACTTGAGGAAAAATTGCAAAAAAAGAAGAAACACCTTGATTTCGACAGTCCATCAACTAGTCAACAGAAAAAGGTTTTCCAGCTGAGTGAAATTTTTGACTCCAGTGAAGACAGTGATAATTGATGGCCTTAACAACTCCTAGATTATATATCCAAGATGCCAAATGGACCTTATTGAAATTGGACACAGATCAATAACTGCAGGTATCCAGACTGTCAAATACGGGAAGAAGCAAAGATAGGCATGCCTGCTTTTCTTGTTTCATATTGAAGACTGAGGTAATTTCTTTTAGATTTTTTTCCTTTTTTTTAAAGAATCCTAGTTGTTTTCTCCAAGACTCAAAAAAAAATTTTTTTTTGGCCTTTTAGTTGTGTTCTGTGGAGTTAGAAATTGCTGTTTACCTTTTATGTGTGCTTTTGGTTTTCAGCACTTTAAAAAATTTAAATCCTTTTTTTTTCCTTAGAAAAAAAAAAAAAAAGCTTGATCAGAAAGAAGGCTTTCTATCTACTTTTAGATATCTCTTTGTTTTTTTTTTTTTTTAAAAAGAAGCCTATGCTTTGAGAAAACACACAACCTTTTTTCTTTTTTTTTTTTTTTTTCTTTTCCTTTTTTTTTTTTTTTTTTGCTACAGATGCTCTGTTCTTAAGAACAGGTGATTCCCATTTTTGGATGTAGGGTTGCCGCTTTTAGAATGCTTTCCTTAATATTTGGAATACAGAAAGAAAAGAGACAGTATATATTTTTTAATTATGCTGAAGAGAGTTTTGACATTTTAATATGGAAACTAAGTGATAAGGTGGAAATTGTACCCCTCGTTGTATGATGTTTTTAACCCTTTGCCTAGAGTAATTATTTGTAAATCGACAGTGCGAATGTAAAAATCTTCCTGTGCATGTAAAGTATTTCTTGAGCTTGTTTCTATTTCCTATAAAGTTGCAATAGAAAGCAGTACACAGAGTGGAGTTTGTCTGTAGTGTTTGATTCCTTTTATAGATGAGTAAAATTTCTTTCACTTAATTGTCATAGAAAATGGAGAAGTCTAAGGGATCAAAATAAAGGCCTTGTTTGAGGCTTAGCGTCATTTACAGGAAAACATTACCAGGAAGCAGAGCTCTGCCCCTGAGAGAAGGGTAGGCCTTTATTTTTTAAGGCTCCCTCCCTCCTCCTCTGCGCATGGAGCGATATAACACTGGCAAAGTTTTGTATAACAGACTCCATGATAAATCAGAGCACAACAGCTCTTTTAAGATCAAAAAGCTCTGCAAGATCCCCAAAAACTTTACGTTTCAACTTCAGCTTCAACTGTTTCCAGGCCCCGTTAAGGGTGTTATGGAAAGGATTCCTGCCTGTGGCATCAGCAACAGTGGAGACAGCCCTGGTCCAAGGGCTGTTTACAGCAAGAGGCACCTCACGTGTGGAGAACTGTGGAAAGACTTGTGTGGAGAACTGTTACGTGTGGAGAACGGTGGTGGTGGCAGCACAACCACCCCATCCCCTTCCCCTCCTGCCCTCCCTGTACTTGAGGTGAGGGGCGGGAGGCCAAGGCAGCAGGAGCTGCCCCCAGGCCCTGCAGAGCTGTGGGGCAGCCTCCTTCCTCCCTCACACTTGGGGGCAGCGACTCCCTCTATCCTGATCAAAATCTCAAGTGCTTTTAAATGTGCCCGGGGAGGAGCAAGAGGGGCTGAGCACGGTTTGGTCCCCGCTCCTGGCCCTCAGTGGGGGTTAACGGCGCGTGGCAAAAGGGGAAACGCGCTGCAGCGCTCCCCGGA